GTGATCGGGCCGGGACTGGTAAGAACCCTGCGGGATTTTTAATTTATTGAAATTACGATAAATCATTTCACAATAGGTAAATCTTAATTGGGCACTGAATTGATTATGATGAATTCTGTCAGAAGGCATTAATCTACGCGGACGAAGTCGCGGGTAACAGCTAGTATATAATATTTGTACGCCTCTGGGCAAAACATGGAGTCTACCTACCTGTAAAACCTCACATACCTATGTTTACAAATAAAAATATTCTGATTCTGATCATATTACTTTGTTTTCATCTGCTTACTGCAGTATCGGTAAAATATTGTAGTGGCCAGTCAGTGGGTTCGTACACAATGTCGTACGGCATTGAGATGATCCGGCGCCACGTGGCGGAGTACATCGAGCAACGCGATGGACACAAGGCCAACTGGCAGGACATCTGCCTCACTGCGGGTGCGTCCACCGGTATCAAACACGTCTTGGAACTATTCTGCAATGAAGTCGACTGCAAGCCAACCGGTCAGTACTAATACTTACAACTGTTTTGCTCCAGTGATTTTTTATGGTTGACATTGTGAATCTGGTACCTAGGTATTATCATCATATTTGCGGAGCACTTTGTTGTGTATATTTTGCAGGCATCATGATACCGATCCCGCAATACCCGTTATACTCGGCTACGCTCACGGAATTCGGGATAGGTGACATTAAGTACTACCTAGACGAGGACAACGGCTGGGCGCTAAACATCTCCGAGCTGGAGCGCGCCTACGAGGAGGGGAGCAAGACACACGCCGTGCGCGCCATCGTAGTCATCAACCCCGGCAACCCCACAGGGCAGGTACACCCTACACCCATTCAGTCAGACTATAACATTTTTTTTTTGTTTTGTTTTTTTTTATTTTAGTAAGTTTTGTAATTAGTACCAATATATCTGTGTTAGTACCTATAATGCGACAAACGTATCTTTGCATTGTTCTCACATATGCGTACAGTATTGTAATATGTATCAGAGACATTGTAGAACATACTTTTTTAAAAAGAGTAATGAATGGAGTTTCTTTCTCGTTCTTCTCCATTCGAATCTACATTTTGGAATGAGCACCTAGCTGTATGAATTGCCCGTTTTGTATGAAGAAAATCAGACAAAAGATTGAAGTATGCTTTATTATAGGAAGGGTATGTTGAAATCAGCCTTTATATGTCCCACTTTAATAGTGGAATAAAAAAATCTAAATCTACACGACTTTCTACCGACTTCACAAAAAAGAGGAGGTACTATGTTCGGCTGATTGTTTTTTTTTATGTATGCTCGCTAATTTGTCCGGCGATTGTGGACCGATTTCTAAAATTCTTCTTTTGTTTGATAAATGAAACTTCCGAAGTGGTCCCATTGTCGCCAGGTCAGGGTCTGATGATGGGATCTCAGGGAAATCGAGGAGAAATTTTGAAGTTATAGTGACAATTATAACGTTTGTTAATATTTTCAAAAAGTATTTTAAACCACCTAGGTCTAGAGTCGATCTGATGATGGAGCCGAAGGACAGTCGAACTTCTCGAGGATTTAAGCAATGACCCCTAGTTTGATCTTGAATTATTTGTATTGATGACAAGTTTACACCTAGATGAGGAACGATTGTCATAAAGGGCCTGATGATGAAGTAGTGTGATAGCTACGGGAACTCTTTGACGGTTAACAGTGGCTACCTTGTATTTGGGCTTAATGCATTTGAATTGATAAGCACTTTACACCTACATGGGGTACGATTGTCATTAGGGGTCTGATGATGAAGTAGTATGATAGCTAAGGGAACTCATCAACGTTTAACAGTAGCTACCTGGTGTTTGGGATTGAATAATTTGGTATTGATTAAAACTTTGTACCCATGTGGGTTATACGTAGTATACCGGGTATGTATACATACGCCCGAATACTGAAATGATATTTAAAGTCGTGCCAGTTATCTACAGTTTCTGCCACTCACAGAGGGGGCAAATGGAAACTATAATCATTTTACTTAGTTTAAAAATTAAAATTTAACATGGTAACTCTTAAAATCTAACTAACCTAAGAGCGAATGCATTCGATGTTCAAATAACACTGCTTTCTTATCTTAAAATTATTTATTATAAAATTTGTATGAAGGTTTTTTACAAGGCGGCGACAAGAGGAGACGACTCAGCAGTTTGGATGTGACAATACTCCGTTGTAATCCTCTTACTTTTAACTTTTTATCTAAAATATTTTTATTTTCGGTCTACCTTCATTGTCCTCATACAAGTATTATGTTCTTTAATTATTGCCAACACTTAGCTTCTGTTTTACATTAGTAAGTAAGCTATACACGAGCAACATGATGACACAGGGCTACCACCGTAAAGGACCTAGAAGACAAACTGCGGCTGACTCTAAAGGAACTGGAGACCTCAAAACAGCTATAATAATAATAATAATAATAATCATTTATTTCAGACCATGTCCATATTCTTGTTAGTAACATTGAACTTAAAAACTAATGTTAGTACACATTATATATATGATTTAATATACAATGACAATACAATGAAATACAGAGGTCAATATACAAGAATATACAATACACAAAAATAAATACAGACAGGACAACACAAAATCATGTCATTAATTATAATATTTAATTTAACTAAAATGTCATTGTACAAAAATCACGGCGCAAGTCCCGCGGCCAGTCGACAACATCTATTTACTATTGCGCAATCCAGTCGGCCAGATATCATTTTCAGGATGCTGTTGTTGCTACCCCTCACCCTCCGCACTAGGGATGTGCATCTCTTACGCATTACTGTATAAAAGCAATCTACGCGGGCTTCTGCAAACATTCCCGAGGCACTACAAAAACGGGGCAACCCCATCAGCACCCTAAAAGCGTTATTATATTGAACTCGAAGGGCGCTGTATGCTTTTTGTGTAAAATGAGCCCACAGACCGCACGTGTAAAACGAAGTACAATATGCACGAAATAAGGCAACTTTGACTTCAGTCGTACAGCGCGCAAACCTGCGGGCAATCATGTTAGCGCGTACAGACAGCGCCCT